GAGGAGCAGCGTGCCCAGGGGCTGGCACCGGCTCCCCAGGGAGGCCTGGGAGGAGCCGCGAACCAGGGCCCTGAGCATGACGTGTAGTTTACAGAGCCGTCGCTAGCAAGCAGGACGCTTACACGCGGTGAGCAGAATCCTGGCTCATGCCTGCAGCTCAGCGTGCTGTCAGGGTGAGCAACGGCCACTGAGGAGTCCCGGTCCGGCACTAACACAGCGGTTATCCACCCGGAACTGTGTCAGCATGAAGTTCCCGGACAAGCACAGCAGGTGGCAGCTTCCACGGGTTCCGGCCGGCGTGCAGGCTCAGCCGGCCCCTCTCTCGGTCCTTCGAGCACCGACCCTCTCCTGAGAGGGACGTCTCGCCCACTGAGCGCAGCGGCCGCACTTAGTGTTGTACGGAAACACCTTCCCTGCACAGACTCCCGCCCACAAATGAGCTGCCCGCCTCTGGCAGCCGGGACTGCGGGCAGTGGATGCAACGGCCCTCACGTTGCCCCCTCCCCTTCCTGTCTGCCGGGAATCTGCAGAAGGTCGATCGCGCTGGGGCTGGGGCCAGGCCGCTCTCACACCCCCTTGGTGGGCTCTGTGGGTCCCGGGTCTCTTGGCCTGAGGTTGGTGTTTGATGGGACATCGTCCGGGGCTAAGTGAGCCCTGCCCTGGAGCCGCTGGGCCCTGACCACCTCCTGCTCCCTCACACGCTGCGGAGCCTGCTCCCCAGGCCTCTCCGTTCCTTTGCAGGTTCAACCTGGACCCCTTCGAGAGGCACACGGACGAGATGCTCTGGCAGGTGCTGGAGCGAACGTTCATGCGAGACACGGTAAGGCTCGGGCTGTCCCGGCGAGTCTGCTTTGCCCACGCCCCCGGCACCTGGCCCAGGTTGACATGCGACAAGCCCGGGGCCAGCGTCTGGCCAGGCTTATTTGTTGGCCCCACACATGTGAGGGACACAAGCCTTGTCGACGTGTTACAATTAAAAGCAGCAATAGGTAAGATTAGGTCTCTGCCAGGAGTCAGCCAGGACCTCCACCTATGTCACAGCACATGGGCCTGGCTGCCGCCCGCGGGCTGGGCCGCCTCCTCCTCTAGGGATGCAGAAACGAAGCCTCGGGGAGGTCAGGTGCAGGCTAGCGAGTGGCAGGATGGAGCCTTGAACCCAGGTCCACCTGACAGAGCCGAGGGAGGGCCCAGCGGCTGGGCAGTAGCCTCACCTGCCTCGGGAAGCAGTAGGCCCGGGTGGAGAGGGCGTGGCATCGCCAGGGGCCTCAGGCCGGAGGCTGGCGTGGCCTCCTGTGCAGCCCACGGGCCGTCAACGTTCCTATTCCGTCCATGGAAACAAAAGCCCTGGAAGGAGTTAATCCTGTCTGTTCCTCTGGCCCATCGGGCCTCATCTGCATTCTCCAGGCGCAGCGGCGATGGGGTGAATCACGCTGCGATTCTAAATGATCACTGTCCGCCCACTCCCCGTCTTCCCCTGGAGCCCGCTTGCAATGCTGAGCGACTGTTGTTTTTCACTTTCTTCCCCGCAGTAAAATGAAGCCGCGGAGGATGCGGGAGGAGGGGCGATCAATACAGACGGCACAGGACGCTTCCACGCATCTCCAGCGCAAACGGCCTCCTCTGTGTCTTACAGATAATGAGGCTCCCAGACAGGCTGCAGGCCGAAGTCATGGAGAACGGCGAGAACTTCTCTGTCGGGGAGCGGCAGCTCCTCTGCATGGCCCGGGCGCTGCTCCGTGACTCCAAAGTGAGGGGCCGCAGGGGAAGGATGGGTCTGGTCGGAGGCACTTCCCGCAGCGCCCTCCACCTGCTGGGGGAGGGG